GAGGGGTTTGGGGAGGGGGAAGCATCTCACACGCCGTGACCCCAAGGGGTCGTCGGCGGATTTCGGTCCCCAGTTGCGCCAGCACTGTTTCTTATGTTGTGGGAGGGCGGGTGGGAATGGGCATGCCATGCTAGAGTCGCTCGAGCTGGTAGCTTGACTCCTACTCCTACTCCTACTTCTACTCATACTCCTCTACTCCCATCCCTGCTCCTACTCCTACTCCTATCCTTATTCCTTATTAAAATATACTCCTACTCCCCCCTCAGGCCGGCAGATAGGGGCCGCGTCCGGGTGGTCCCATCCTAACCTGTTAAAAAACAATACAAAATCATCATTTTTCTTATTTTTCCTCTCGACATGGACGTCCTGTCGTCCACGGCGATAATCCATTGCAAAAAATACCACAAAGAGCACACGCGCGCGTTCATGTCATAATCCTACCGAACACCTTGTGTTTGCAAGCATTTCAACATAGAAACATAAAAAAACCAATGCTTTCTCACAAAAATTCTACACATGTCCTGCCCGGGCTCTCTTGCTGAAATCATAGGAAAACCATAGGAATCTTAAGAATTCGGTCAAATCCAGCGATTTCACGTCATCGCGCGGTGCACTCGCGATGCTCTGTCATGCACCCAGGCCGCGAATCCTGTGCAAAAAATACCACGCGGGCGACATGCGCGCGCGTCGCCGCGAGCGCATGCTCAAATCCTTCTAGAGTCGTCGCCGTCATTGGCACCGTCGCATGGACGTCCTGTCGTCCACGTCGCAAAATGCATGGCAGGAATGGGACCCGGCTTACCGGGCCGTTCTCGACACGGCCACCTCTGGCTTCCTGCGGTGTACCGGGCCATTCTCGACTCGTCTGGCAATGCGTGCGCGGCATTCAACACGCGCTCGCCAGTTCCCGTCGGCAACCGCCATCGCGGCCGCATCAGCTGTACCAAACCGGCTGGCCGGTGTGACTTCGGCCCCCAGTTGTGCCAGCTTTGCTTCTTATGTTGTGGGAGGGCGGGTGGGACTGGGCATGCCATGCTTGATTCGCTCGAGCTGGCTAGCTTGACTCCTACTCCTACTCCTACGACGACTCTCCCTCCTACTCCTTCGCCTCGTTTTCCTCCTCCTCCTCCTCGTCCTCCGTCTCTTCCTCCGCCTCCTCCTCCTCCTCGTTTTTCTCCTCCTCCTCCTCCTCCTCCTTGTCCTCCTCCTCCTTGTTCTCCTCCACCTCCGCCTCCGTCTCCGCCTCCTCTGCCTCCGCCTCCTCCGCCTCCGCGTCCTCCCCCCCCAACTCCCGTGTGCGCGGGGCGGGCCCCGCCTCGGGCAGCGGGCGATCGGAGAGGCGCGAAACGGCGACGGCGGCTGGGCCTTGCTGGCGGCGGCTGCGGCAACGAGGCCCTTGAGGCCCGCGCGGCCGCCCAGACGACGACGCCGCCGCCGTCGCGGGGTGCCCCCGACGGCGGGCGGCCTGTGGCCCAGCTGCGCGGGCGCCGCGTCCTCAGCAGCGCTTGCGTTGGGCGGCTCCGGCCGACCCCCCGGCCTTGCAGCTCCCTGGGGAGCTGCTGGGGGGCCAGGTCCGCACTGGTCAGAGGAGGACAGGGTGCTCCTTGGACGGGGCTAGGGCCAGCGTTCCAGAGCGCTTTCAGAGCGTTCCAGAACGCTCTGAGAAGGCCGCGGCGCCCGGTACAGCCTCGTTCGCCAGTTTGGCCTCCATGGGCCGTGGGATGGAGAAACACATCGGGTAAAAGTAAGAAACGTGCCCAGGCTCGTATACAGTCCCCTTCCCCATTATCGTCCCGATCCCAGCGATGATGCGACCGGTCAATCTCGACGAGGCTTTGCGTGAGGGTTCGTAGGAGTGGACCCGTGATGCATTTTGGAATCGTTTTGGATGTCTGCGCATAATCATTGATTTCTGCTCGGATGTCGATTGCGTCGAGGTGCCGCCAGCCATCTTGCGACGCCTAGGCGGCCCCCTTGGTGAGTAGATGCACGGTTCCTCCCCTCCAATGTTGGACGTGGTCGAGCGGTCTCTGCGGGTTGTTGGGGCTGGGCTCGGTGCCGAACGGTTTGAGACAGCAAAACCCGCACATTTGGCGTTTTGTATAGCCCCTTTGTTCTGGCGAATCTTATTATTGTGTCAAATTTTGGACATAGCCAGAATTCGTCGCAATAGAATCCAGTAGGGATTCTTGCAAACCTTACGTGAAATACGCATTGGGCTCATATTTTCGGCCTTCATTGCATTGTGCATGGCGAAATGCAGCCAGACCATTGTGATCATGGATCTCCATTTGACGCATGCCATGCCGCATGTCATTGAAGGATTCCCGGGCTATTGCAGTCGAGAACGTCGTATCGAAATTGGGAAACACAGCCGTAAATAACCCCACCAATCGTTCAAGACATCCCCAATCTATTGTCGTTATCTACCCTTGCGGCCGTCCAGAACATGGGTTAGTAAAATACAGACCAGTGCTGTCGCTCGACACATTCCACAATTCCTGCATCGTCTGCGCCGATTGGAGTCTAATCAACGACCCTGAGTAACTTGATGGTTGCTTCGTACAAGTCGGGTGTAGGACGAACCGATTCCCAATCAATATTTGGATGTGTACTGGACCTCCTCCCCCCGCTTCCACTGCGATGCCATCGTCGTCGAACAAGCCGTCGGGAGAGCGTCGGATATTCGTCTGGGGGTCGGAACGTGGTCCTAAGCTTACTGGGGCATGCGCCGGAGTCGTTGGCATAATTATGTACTGAAAGTCGTGGGCCGAAGCCTGAGCGTTCCAGGTCTCTGTCGACATCGGGTCCTAGGAGCTGTTTCAGCGGGATCCGTCGGGTCAGGGACGGGCAGGGTTGCCTTGCAGGGGAGGAGCGGGGGCGGCCGAAGGTGTTTGGCCATCCATTTGATGTCCTCCGTCGCCGTCATCGTCGCTTTCCCCATCCGTCGCTAAGATCGCCCATGCCACCCACATCGCACACGAGAGGAGCATCCACTGCGGCTGTAGTCTGCATGTCGTCCGGGGGTGGGGTCACGGAGGTCGGCGGAAGGGGACCGTCAAGCCTGGGTGGAGGGGTGGGGTCAAGGCCGGAGGCGGCAGCATCTTCAGCAGGGTCAGGGGGTGGTTTGGGAGAGGAGTGCGGAAGTGGAGATCGTCGCCTGGGCGGAGGGGGAGGAAGAAGTGGGAGGCGGTGGTTGGTATTCAGCCCTCTCTGGGGACAGAGGTTCCGGGCCTTCAGCGATATCCCCACTCGGTCGGAGGCCGTCCGTGCGGAGGGTTAGGGGCGGAACTAAGGCGGGGGCGTGCGAGGCGGGCATTGGGATGGGGGTGATGAGTGGGTAAGGCAATGCGGAAGCAGGAGATATCGGACCGCCAGCCAACGTAGTAGTTGGTGGTGGAACACGCTGTTCTCGTGGAGTTTGCTGTTGCCGAGGCCCGAGCCCCAGTAGATGAAGAAGCGGCATTGATCCGAAACGTGGCTTTCGGTGGGCCCGGATGTGCGGATTACCCAACCCGAATGCCAGCATACGGAGAGCATCTGTACGGTGACATTGATGTTGGTATATGTTGCGTCACAATGTTTTTTAATACCCATCTGTTTGAGAGATTCTATTCTTGCAGTGCTTGCATGCCCAAATATTTCAACATTATCTGTTCAGATTGGTGCAAGCCCGTGAATTTTATACCAGCCACATCTTGCAAATATCCACAACACATTCACACGAAGAGGCCAAACCACATATGCCAATAATACGCAAGGCCGAATCTACCAACGATCCCAGGTTCAAACGCCACTCAGAACAATAATGCGAATGCTCGTGGTAGTTGGTGGAGTTGCCGCCGGAATAGTGATTAAAACAAGTTTGGGTCGTTAGGAAATACATTGGAGTTGGTGTCAACACAGTATCCATACCCATCCCGTGTGGTGGTGATGTATCGGTTTCCTCGTCGCTCCCATGGGTGCCGGCGTCGGACATGAGAGTGGAGTTGTTCCCGCCAAAGTTGACGTTGCTCTTGCCGAAGAGACGCCCTGAGGAGATTCCTTGGTGACCAGAATCGGCCTAAGAGGTACGCAAATTATGAGAACTATGAAATAGGCAGCCAGAGCCAGAGTCGAGTTGCCACTGGACTGGGCCCCGAAGATCGAAAGAGTAATGACATCGGGGACGCGCTAGAAGAGGTAGATTTTCGATCAGGCCGGAAAGCAGACCAAACCAAACCACCGCGGGGCCGATAAATTTCTGAGTGAGTCGGGTCCGAGAGTCGGAAGCCGGAGTCGGACATCGGTGGGGCGGGATTGGGGTGCGGTCATCTTTCGGCTTCAAAAATTGGGGCCCAAAAGGGTGACTCTGACAATAGAATCGGCATCGCACCTAACGTAACCCGAACAGCCAAAGCAAGTCCAACAAAGTGTTCCAAGGCATTCCCGGGGGCTCCAAGGCGTTCGCTGGAAGTTGCATGTGGTGTAGTGGACGCATCCTGAAACACTCCAAAGTGACCGCATTCGCATACGCGATTTGCAGTTCCGATCATGCTGCATAATCGGATATCGATAACAGTCGGGCTCTGGAATCGGACATCGATTGGACATAGGAGCAAGAGCCGGACTCGGAAGAACGACCGTGACGTTTATGCCATACTATTGTTGTTCATCACCATTATGTGTGTGTGATGTTGTTCGTCTTCGTGCGATGTCGGCATTGACAAAATGTCGTCGTCGCACTCTTGTGCTTTATCCTCCTCGTCGATTCCGATTCCCTCGTCCCTCACCTCGGCTCCCTCAGCCCCTTTCGGGCCAGGAGGGGGCCCTTGAGGGCGGCGCACTTGAAATGGGCGCAGCCGCCCCGAGCCATGGCCGCTGCTTGATGCCGCCGCACTTCTGCTTCTACATTGCGGAGGTGTCGCTTCCCGAGACCGGCCACCTCGTGCGCGGCTTCCTGGAGAAGGCCGGCCTGCGGCAGGACAAGGTGCAGGTGGACGTTGTCGCCTGCAAGGAGTATGGCCTCACGCTCGACAGCGGAGCTCGGCCTTGGGTACGGTCCGCTACCCAAGAGGAGACCTTCGCAGCCCAAGAGGATCCATCCGCCGATGCACTCGGCGGAGCAGATCGCCGGGCGGAAAAAGATCGAGGTCAGGAAGCGGAACCAGGCCGTCAAGGAGAAGGAGTTCTTGAGGGGGGCTTCCTCGCCTCCCATGGGCTTGACACCTCCACGACGGACAAGGCGGCAGGATGGCCTCTGGATTGCCAACCCGTTCGTGGAGGCGGAGCGCGAGGTGATCCAGGAGTCCGCGCAGCAGGACGCGAAGTGGAAGACCGAGAAGGACCTCATGCGCAAAGCCGTCTCGGACCTGAAAGTGTCCCAGACAGAAAAGGGCCACGTGCGCGAGGGCGCCTCGGACGTGAAGGGGAAAACCAAACAGGTCGTGAAGGAGAAGACCGAGAAGGACCGCAAGGCCGTCTCGGACCAGAAGGTGAGCAAGGACCGCAAGCGCAAGGCCGTCTCTCCCAGCCCGTCGTCGGAGAGCTCCAACGCCTGGGACATCCTGCGCTGGAAGCGCAAGAATCGCTGGTCGCGGACGTCTCTCCCTCAGAGCCTCGAGCAGCCCGAGGGTGCGCTGACCTTGGAGGGGGGCCCGTGAAGGGCGGGGGCGACGGTTCGATGGCGACTGCGGCAGCTCCGGCAAGCTGGACAAGAGCGAGAAGTTCTACATTGGCACGCCTGCGATCAGCGACTCGGAGGTGGAGGCTGGCGTGGCTTCTGGCGCAAGTTTCCGGCAGGTCAAGACCAAGAAGAAGAAAAATAACAAGAAGGATCCGAAGGAGGTGACAGCTCCTGGTGGGCCTGCTGGCAGTTCGTCGGCGGCTTCGCCACCAGGCGCGACCTCGCCCCCAGCGACCCTGGACGAGATCAAGCGCATGGCGGTCCAGCTGGTGAAGCAGGGCACTCTCGACCGCGAGTGCTTTGACACCGTCCTGAAGGGTCTGGGCCAGGCTCAGAGTTGAACACTCTTGAATTGGCGCTGCTTTTAGCGGGCTCCTGAAGTTCGCCCAGGCGCCGTGCGTCTTCTGGCAGCGCTGGCTTTTCGTCGGCGTCGGCCACCAATTCTTCGTGCCAGTGTTCTTCATGAGTGTGGTTGTGAACATCTTCGGCTGCAAGGTCGGGGAATTCCTCAAGGTGTTGCGGGTCGGAGTGGCCCCCTGGTCCGACCCGTCAGGTATAGGCCTCGGGGTGGTGGCTGTGCTCGGGGGGTTCGTTCTTTCAGCGGGCCTCCTCTCGGCCCCTCCTGGGTGTCTGGGGCCCCGTGGGCCCGCCCGTCCGCTCCGCTGAAAGGCCCTAGGGTGCAGCTATCCCCCTGGGGCGCGGGCGGCGTCCGCGGCCGTAGCGCCGAGCGTTCGGGTCCCGACCCGTTCGATTTAGTCAGCGCCCTCAGCGCCCTCACCTCGGCCCCCTCGTTCTCTTGTGATTTGTCTTCCCTCGATCTGGCGTTGCTGCCAGCATTGGCGACGGTCTCGGAACTGATGTTGTCCCTGTGTGCGTTGCAGTCGCGGGCGGACGCGATGGTCACGTGGTCGAAAGTGTTGGCGGAGGCGATTGTCAAAGGTGGTTGGTATATACATGCCAGCCGCGGTTCACAGGAGGAGAGAGATGAGAGGAGTGTAAAGAAATATAAGTTTGCTCCTTCTCGCCTTTCAACCTCCTCCAAGTGACTGGTGCACGCAGCTGCGTTTCTAACCCTAGCATCATCGCATTCACGCGCGTCGCACCGCCCATTATCATTACCGTTGCCGAGTATGCCACAGTGGGCGCTAGCGGTGACGCTATTGGTGAATGCGAACTTGGCCCTGATCTGGCTTTGGCCCTCGGTGGCCCAGACGTAGGCCCGAATGGGGTTGGACCATCTACGTTGGTAAGAATTCGTATTCTAACACGCCCGCATCCCGCGCTAATTTGTAAGCCTCGGGTTCCGCCAGATCTCGTAGGACGTCGAATTGGACAGCTTCGGTTGCATTGCACTCGGGCCTTGGGTGTGGAGGTGGTAAATGCGTTGACATGTATTGCGTCGGGAAGTAAACTGCTTTTGTATGCAATCAGCAGTTTGGGTTGATTATATATGTATGTATTCATGTTGTTGGTCGTTCGGGTATTCTAGACACATCATGGAAATCATATAATGAAAATGCCCTCAGTCAAGCCACTTCGTATCCATCCATAAGCGAAGTCGCGAGGTGGGCAACTATCAGATACCTTGTTCATATGATGTCTCTTGGGTGGAGTAAATTCGTGTTGATGTGGTTATAGCCCCATACAGTAACAAATTATTGATGCCAATCGAGTGCTCTCATTGCGCGTGCAACATGATGATTAGCTACGTCGTGGGTACTTATCGTCACAAACGCATAGCGCGTGGGCAAGAACAACACTGCGATTGTGTAAAAAGAACACGGAGGTGGATGGGTGAGGCAGGGTGCGCGCCAGCCCGGCGACCCATTGAGCCGTAGAGCTCTTGAACACGGGTTTCCATCGTTTCTATCGTAGTCGCTTTGTTTCCATACATATGTTTACCAGTTTTTTTTGTTGTTGGGCTGACGATTTGCTTTAGTGCACCCACGGATTCCCATGATTGCACCAGCGGCTTCTTTTATCAACAACCATAGGTTTCCAAACTTGTCTTTCCGGATGTCTATAACGGAACGACACGTGGATTTATTTTGATGGCGTGTCCATAATAAAACAAACGACTTGAATCCCATACCAAAGCCGATATAATTTATAGAACCGACGGTGCATGCGTACGAAGAGCATCCATACGCGAATAATGTTTCCATGGCTACGCATATTTCTGTAACCGGTGGTCCGTTCCCAAGACGGTGAGTTTTCATCCCCAAGACGGTGAGTTTTCATGTTCGGTCGGTGCCAAATTTTGTCCACACGCAATGGAAGTGCACATTGGATGGGGGGATGCGAAGTGATTACAGATGTCCGAAAATAACAGAAATACGAGCTAAACAATACAATTCAACAGTACAAGGAAGGGAACAATAATTTGGCAACAGACGAAAACATTGGAAATACGACACAGAAAAATGATGAGAAATACAAATCATTACATGTCGAACTCCTTCCCAAGAACTGAAGATTGTAGCACCACCTGCCGTTTGTTGTGCCTCGCCTGTGCATCCTCAACAATACATAATTGTTTCGTCATCCTCTTCCATCGTGTCGATGTATGTACTGTACGGCGGCAAATATTCCGTGTATCGGAGTGTTCCAGGGTTTCCATCGTTTGGTGTTTGTTCTAAAAGATAGAAGTAAGATTTTTGTAAGCGAAGTCGTTTGTTTTTTGCAAGTCTATGGTTGTGCTCTTTTGTTTTACTATTTAAACAATTTTTATAGTTGTAAACAATCGTTATCTCATGTCTCCTTAATTTGGAAGCCCGGGTCTGTCTGCAGTTATGGAAACTTGCAAAACTATAATCAAGATATGGAATTTTAGACATGGAGGTCAACAGTTTAGAAATCCGTAAGGGCTTCGCCCCCTGCCGCCGGCCCCCTCTCTCGGAGAATGGGCCATGGAAAAGCTAAGTCATGAGGCCTTGGCGCTGTCGTGAAGCAGTATCGAAACTTCATGCGAAGCCGGTTCGCAATCAGCAAAACCAACTGATCACAAGAGGGGTTACCACACCTGGCGATTGGTAATACGTATGGTTTACGGGCTTGGTTACCACACCTTGCGATTACAGGGCCGAGGGAGTTCTCGCAGTTTGGGTTACCACGCCTTGCGATGGATGTGCATGAAGGGTGGCACCGAATTCCAGAAATGTAGCAAATCTCCTCTGTTTTTGGACCCTGACCCCGCGGATCTGCGTGAGGGATGGCGCCGAATTTCAGAAATGTGGCAAATCCAATGTGTTTTTGGACCCTGACCCCGCGGATCTGCATGAGGGGTGGCACCGAATTTCAGAAATGTGGCAAATCCCCTATGTTTTTGGACCCTGACCCCGCGGATCTGCGTGAGGGGTGGCACCGAATTTCAGAAATGTGGCAAATCCAATGTGTTTTTGGACCCTGACCCCGCGGATCTGCGTGAGGGATGGCACCGAATTTCAGAAATGTAGCAAATCCCTGTGTTTTTGAACCCTGACTCCGCGGATCTGCGTGAGAGGTGGCGCCGAATTTCAGAAATGTGGCAAATCCCTTGTGTTTTTGGACCCTGACCCCTCGGATCTGCGTGAGGTGTGGCACCGAATTTCAGAAATGTAGCAAATCCCCTGTGCTTTGGACCCTGACCCCGCGGATCTGCGTGAGGGGGGGCGCCGAATTTCAGAAATGTGGCAAATCCCTTGTGTTTTTGGACCCTGACCCCGCGGATCTGCGTAAGGGGCGGCGGCACCGAATTTCAGAAATGTGGCAAATCCCCTGTGTTTTTGGACCCTGACCCCGCGGATCTGCGTGAGGGGTGTCGATTTCGAGCCCACCCCGCAATTCAGACAACGCGCCCAGGGGACGCTAAGAAGCCACTTTGGGCCTCCCCCCCCTCGCGCGGTCAATCAATTAGTTACAGTAGCCAGCAATGAGTCAACTAGGCACAGTCACCAGCATGAAGCAGAACTGCAACATTGGAAACTCCAACCTACGACTGGTACAGGAAATTGCGAATCACGGGCCTACATCCTGGTGGTCCTACAAGGGGGCCGGCGGATTTAGGTCCGTTGTAGTAAGATATCCCGACGGAAAGATACCACATGACAATTTCTGCGGGTAGCCTGGAATAACCTCCACTGTCGTCCCCGCGGCAGGAATTCAAAATAACGACAGCTACAAGATTGAGGATGACCCTTTCGGATTAAAAGCTCGAAAGGCGGGCCCAATTAGGGATATGTTCCCCCTTGAATCTTCCTTGCACTTCGTTTGCAGACGAGGGGTCTGTTAAATATTTCTTGCGTATTCAAGGTTCCGGAATTGGAAAAATTACATAATTTGATTCAAGACGTGAAGTGTAGGGCCCATGCGCGGCTTCCGCTTGCGCTTTCTTCAGTGTTCGCTTGCAGACGAGCGTCTTCGTCTAATATTGAATTCAGGCCACGGGAAACGGAACATGATAATATGCACAATGCGAGGGCGAGCAGCTCAGATGAAAAACGTTACTTGAGATTTCGTTACACCCCGCTTTTCCTTCTATTCTCAGAGGATTACAATGTCGAGGGTGACATTCTGATGAAAAACGTGACATGCAGGTACCATCGCGACGGGGCTTCCGCCTGGGATCTTCTCGCTGCGTGGTCATTCACGAACGAGTTTTTTTTGTTTTTGTTTATATATATATATGTATATATATATATATATATATATATATATATATATATCGCGAAAACGACAATCTCAAGGTTGAAGAAGACCCCGTCGGATTAATAACGTGAAATGCAGGCCCCACAAGGTAGAAATTCCCGCTTGATATTTTTTCTGATTCACGGACGATTCTTCCATCTAGACAGACAGACAGAAGCCATGCGCCAGTACGGCGCCTCGGCATGAAAAAGCAAAGCAACCCTTCTTTGTAGGGGAATCGCGCGCCGCCCGGGCAGATTACACATGCCAAACGCATGCCTGAGGGAGCCGGCGCGCCAAACGCACGCCCGA